AGGGTAGACTGACAGAATGGCAGATAGACAGAGCAAGGGATATAGATTCTCCACAAATGCACACCGACGAGGCAGGCGAAAATGGACAGATTGACAGAGCCGGGGACACAGGCAAATAGATAGATAGTCCTTACGCATACTAGTGTATGCCTTTGGCTCAGACCATTACGATGTGTCAGTGCTTGCCTTCTTGCCTGTAGCCCATTTCTGCTCCCCTGCAGTCCTCCCTTCTTTGCACTATCTTGGTTCTCTTTCCTACTTGTGCCACAGGCTGGCGTCTTCCAATGGCACACCATTGCTCTGCTTTGTTTACGGAAAAAGGCAAACACACTAAGGACGCGGACGCTGTTCTCTGCTTGGACCAAAGGAACAGGGTGCTCTGTTTGTTCGTTGGAAAAACGTTTTACAAAAAAAAAGAAAAAAAAAGAACACTCTCCGGAGGATAACACCCATGCACATGCAGTTGGGGAAGATGAGCATGAACGTAGCTCATGGCCGGTCACATGATCTGTGCCTGGACAGCGCTTCTGGTCAGGTGCGTTCTGACGGGCACGGGGACAACGAGTCGTTTGCTTGGGTATTTTTGGAACTCACCCTGGATTTTTAAAAATTCTTTTATTTTCCCCTGAAATTTATTTTGCCTTGTCTTATGGTGGCCCACAATTGCCTGGCATACCCTGAGAGGGCCCCGGAGGGGGTCAGTAAGGGCTTCCTCACACTGGAACTTGCCAAGAAGCATCGGGCAGATTCTGGCTGCAATCACACCCGGATGCATTTCACTCCGGCTACTGCAACGCCCCTGGGTGTGGCTGAATAATGCCACCTGTTTGTTTTCCATTTGGGCGTACTCCTTCAGCTTTCTCCCCTCGTAAAGATCAGTGTGCCCGATCTGACGATCAACCTCTCGACTTGCAGAGTTCATGATCATTGTACGATTGTGCCATGCTGGCACACTGAATATGTTTTTATTTTTTATTTTTATTATTTATTTATATAATTAAATTATATTAATAAAATAGTAGTTTAGTCATCTGCTTCTGGTGGAGTTGGAACACGGATGTGTGCTTTAACATCTAAGGGGTGTACCAACTGAGCTTGCTTATCCTAATTTTTTTTTTTTTTTTTAAAGCGATATTCTTCTCTCAATTTCACCTCACACTACCTACCCACCACTACTCCTAGTTGTAGGCATGCGGGGAACCCCATAGCAGCCAGAACTGTGTTCACGAGAGAACATGCGGGGGCTGCTCCCGACCTGCAGGTGGGCGATACTGGCTAGGGAACAGCCGGTAGCATCAGGGACCATGCCAACAGGACCAATCCCTGTGCCTCCGCTCAGGTCCCCTCCCCTATGAACATCAGCAGACTCTGCTAAATGCCAATCGGGGGATCCAGTGGTCTATATCTAGGTGGCGGGCGCCAAGCATGCCCAGGAAGGTACATGAGGCCAATGGGGATTGAACCCACGACCTCCTGAATGCCACTTGCGAGCCTTACCAACTGAGTTAGGCTGCTGGTCTATCCTAATTTCATTTCTAAGTTAACTTTCTTTTCTTTTTTTTGTAGTGAAAGGTGAAAATGAGAGAAGAATGTCGCTTAGGTTTTTTTTTTTTTTTTTTTTTTTTTTTTTTAAATGGTCTCCAGACTGCTCTGGCAGGCCTGTGAAAATTTTCAGGTAAGCTGCTTATGTGTGCTCAGCCTGCAGTATTCTTCAGTAAAATACGAAAGAATAGTACGCCCACTGAGCGGGGCAAGCAGTGCTAGTGAGCTTTCGAGACATCTCTGAAAAAAAAAAAAAAAAAAAAAAAAAAAAGACCTTCGAGACATCTGTTAAAATGGGAATTTGGAAAGATACAGAGAAGACTGGCATGGCCCCTGCGCAAGGCGACACACACACAAATTGAGAAATGGTCCAAACTTAGAGGCAGTCATTGCAGCCATCAGAAGGTTTAAGAAAAAAAAGAAAACAACAGGAAAAAGAGAAGCTCGGTGCGTCGGTGACGCCCCAAGGTTTGCCCACAATCAACACACGTGCATGCTTCAATGCCCAGGTGCATTCATCTGGGTGCTTTGCAGTCATTGCAAAATTTTTTACAGTGTTTGACGTGGATTACTTGAAGCGTCTTACACTTGATGCCGACTAGGGATTGGCGGATGTCTATTGGATGACTCTGCCAGCACCTCGTGAGAAATCAAAGTTTACGGGTTCCGGGGGGAGTATGGTCGCAAGGCTGAAACTTAAAGGAATTGACGGAAGGGCACCACCAGGCGTGGAGCCTGCGGCTTAATTTGACTCAACATGGGGAAACTCACCAGGTCCAGACATAGCAAGGATTGACAGATTGAGAGCTCTTTCTTGATTCTATGGGTGGTGGTGCATGGCCGTTCTTAGTTGG